ATCTGTGAAGTAACTAAAGGGATTAAATACATGTAGTGGAGTAAAAGTACACCATTTACCTCTGAATTGTAGTGGAGTAGAAGTACACAATTTACCTCTGAAGAGTAGTGGGGTAGAAGTATACAGTAGCATATATGGAAATACTCAAGTAAAGTACCTTACTTTAGTACATTTAATTAGTCACTTTACACCACTATGCACTTGGAATATAGTCGATTAAAATAACAGATGTGTCGGTGTAAAGTGTCTAAATCCAGTCATCTCCTCTCCAGTATGAACTAACGTTAGCTAACCGTTAACTAGCTAAATGTATACAAACAGCTGAATATAAACAGGTCTGAGAAGAAATGCTCCAACAGGACATGTTTGTATAAAATACACGTTATATAAATGTCAAACCATAAGATATGAAGCGTATTGTGTTCAAATGTAAAACATACTAGTAGCGCGGAAAAGCCTTAGTCATCGTATGGTTGACATGAGTTAGCATCACTAAGAAAAGCCCCTCAAAACGCGTCTATTTCACACAACGTCTCAAAACAACAGCCACAACATCATTCTACTTAGTGAGGTAGTTATTGTGAACAGGTTTTTCTTTATTAAAACGTAGCTTACCTCTTGCAGTGATCGAAACTGAAACCCCCGACCGGTGGCTGGTTCACTATTAATGTCGCCATCTTGATAAATGAAGTGGGGTTTGTTTCCCGGAAGTAAAGGAAGTGGGTCTTCTTCTGTGGTGTTTAACGGCAGTTGGCATGTATGTGATTTTGCTTCGCAGCCTCCCTCTGGAGCCAGCTTTATACTGCGACCGACCATCGTTATTGTAGAATATATATTTTGTCTGGACCAGTGTCCTTTCATCAGAGGAAGAAAGTAGTAATTAAGTACATGTACTCAATACTTTACTTAAGTACAATTTTGAGATACTTGTACTTTACTGGAGTATTCCCATGTTATGCTACTGTGTACTTCTACTCCACTACAGTTCAGAGGTAAATCGTGTAATTGTAAGTAAAAGTTGAAGTACTCAGATCCTGTACTTGAGTAAAAGTAGAAGTACCAGAGTGTAGGAATACTAAAATACAAAGTAGCATTACATTGAAATACTCAAGTAAAGTACAAGTACCTCAAAAGTGTACTTACTGTAAGTAGGCTACTTGAGAAAATGTACTAGTTACTTTACACCTCTGGGTACTGTTATCATAAACATTCTAATCATAGCATGTATGCAACTTTTTATGACAATGGTGTAATGGGTATATATATATATATATATATATACATATTGTGAATGAAAGATAATTACAATATATATATTATAATAATTTTTCATTCACAAAATTGAGTAAATAATAACTAATGATAATCTAACACACACACATATTTTTCAACAGGTTAACTTAATGAATACATCAACAAAGTGAGAAACTAATATTAGCAGTTTTTGTATTTTACACTTTCTGTAACAACCTAACTGTGCTGGTAAACAGGAGTTTTCCAGAACCCATACACACGGCATGGTCTGTGTTTTTAATCATGCTTCTGTGTTTTGTTCACCAACAGGACAGGTGCCAACCCGATGCCAGCTGGATGTCAAGGTCGGAAAGGAAATGGGCTCCAGTCAGGTGGACGAGATCAGATAGTGCGCCTCCAAAACAAGATGGGAGCATTATGTTGATTAAGCTTTTTATTAAAGCAGAGTGGGAAAAACAGGTGGATGAAGGTGTAATCGGTGGATCTCAGAGACTGATAACACAGGTTTAATGGGCTCTGACCTGAACCTCGTCATACACTTCCTTCATGTTCCAATACCTTATGTTGGGGATGTGAAATCATGACTAACGTTTTCCTGCTGCGTCTGTCCACTTCAGCACCTCTTCAACCTTCACTTTAACCACCAGAACCCCTACGATACTGGAACTAGCTTTACTAATCAATACAAGCATCATATTACAATGAAGGGTTAGGCAAAACAGATGGCACTGTTTAATTAATGTATAAAGCCGGAATTATAATCTTTATATTCACCGCAGTGGGGATCAGAAACGCAACTTTATACAAATGAATTGTAATGTTGCCTTGTTTTAAATATTTTTACACTGGCAAAACTACATTTTCCTCCCTTGTGGAACAATCCCGATTTATCTAATCAATTTCCGCACATAGACCAGATATCCATGTTAAGATAACTCAGTCTCACGGCATTTCGTGTTATAGTAAAAAAATGTATTGATTCGTGTTCACCAACACGATTTTGCCATTTTTTTCGTGTCACACAGAACGATTTTAAAAGCAATGTAAATAACAACAAATTAGAAGGAAAAAAGATGACAAAAAATACAGATGTCAGTACTCTGAGGCTCTGAGCCATTTATTTTCCTCGCGGACGGCAAAAAAACTCCAACATTATACAATTTAAATTAAAAGGGATAGGGTTAGATATTGAGTAAGAAAATGTTTTTATGAACCACACAGCTTCTGGTCTTCCAAGACCCGACCGGACATACTACCAATAGAAATACATTGCTTTCGAAAATTGTGTTGGTGAACACGAATCAATAGATTAAATGAATTTCGTGACTATAACACGAAATGCCGTGAGACTGAGTTGTAAGATCACACACCTCAAACACACTTTCCATAACTAAATCCTAATTTATTCTCACACCTTTTGCAGAAGTACGGCAATGGCTGGAGACCAATTCTTTGTATTGCCTATCATCTTCCTTCTTTGGCTGCTACATGTTATTTTCCGCTTCACTTGGTTTGAATATACACAAATCAACAATGGATCTGCACTAAACAAGCAGTGCGTTACTTCTGGTAGCCTTAACTCTCACCAAGAAACCTTTCATGGTGATCTGGAAATTAAGGAAAACCACACTCACTTTTAAGTTCCTTTGTAGTTTATTTGAATACAAGTCTCATTTACAATATTGTTTTATTGCATCATTATAGTATCAAAATCATATCCTTGTATTTGAAATAATCTCAGTAAAATGCCTCCGTGTGCAGACAGAGCTTTGAGACTTCACCAATTATGTGCAATATGCAATAATAACAAATGTGCCGTTAATAACTTTACAATATATACCTGGCTGCTAAATCCTCAGATCTGTTACAGGATGTGTATTTTGTAAATTGTGTAATTTTTCTTTCAAATGTTTTATCTTTAATATAAAAATGTTATGCGTGCTTCGTAGTTAATATTAAAGGTCACCTATTATGCAAATAACACTTCTTCATGTCTCTTCTACATCAACATGTGTCCCCTCTTCTTCATGTCTCTTCTACATCAACATGTGTCCCCTCTTCTTCATGTCTCTTCTACATCAACATGTGTCCCCTCTTCTTCACGTCTCTTCTACATCAACATGTGTCCCCTCTTCTTCGTGTATCTTCTACATCAACATGTGTCCCCTCTTCTTCACGTCTCTTCATCAACATGTGTCCCCTCTTCTTCATGTCTCTTCTACATCAACATGTGTCCCCTCTTCTTCATGTCTCTTCTACATCAACATGTGTCCCCTCTTCTTCATGTCTCTTCTACATCAACATGTGTCCCCTCTTCTTCGTGTATCTTCTACATCAACATGTGTCCCCTCTTCTTCACGTCTCTTCTACATCAACATGTGTCCCCTCTTCTTCATGTCTCTTCTACATCAACATGTGTCCCCTCTTCTTCATGTCTCTTCTACATCAACATGTGTCCCCTTTTCTTCACGTCTCTTCTACATCAACATGTGTCCCCTCTTCTTCATGTCTCTTCTACATCAACATTTGTCCCCTCTTCTTCATGTCTCTTCTACATCAACATGTGTCCCCTCTTCTTCATGTCTCTTCTACATCAACATGTGTCCCCTTTTCTTCACGTCTCTTCTACATCAACATGTGTCCCCTCTTCTTCATGTCTCTTCTACATCAACATGTGTCCCCTTTTCTTCACGTCTCTTCTACATCAACATGTGTCCCCTCTTCTTCATGTCTCTTCTACATCAACATGTGTCCCCTCTTCTTCATGTCTCTTCTACATCAACATGTGTCCCCTCTTCTTCATGTCTCTTCTACATCAACATGTGTCCCCTCTTCTTCATGTCTCTTCTACATCAACATTTGTCCCCTCTTCTTCATGTCTCTTCGACATCAACATGTGTCCCCTCTTCTTCATGTCTCTTCTACATCAACATGTGTCCCCTCTTCTTCATGTCTCTTCTACATCAACATGTGTCCCCTCTTCTTCATGTCTCTTCTACATCAACATTTGTCCCCTCTTCTTCATGTCTCTTCTACATCAACATGTGTCCCCTCTTCTTCATGTCTCTTCTACATCAACATGTGTCCTCTCTTCTTCTTGTCTCTTCTTCATCAACATGTGTCCCCTCTTCTTCATGTCTCTTCTACATCAACATATGTCCCCTCTTCTTCATGTCTCTTCTACATCAACATGTGTCCCCTCTTCTTCATGTCTCTCCTACATCAACATGTGTCCCCTCTGTGGAAAGAGACTCTGAAAGTTTCAGGAACAAAGATTCTCTCTCTTTTTGATCCATTTCTATAAAAACCTGTCTGAAAATGAGCTGATCAGATTTTGGCCACTTTATGATGTCATAACGATGTGTTGTCTTGTGTAACCATTAGCCAATCAGCAACCAAGGTAACCCCCCCCCCCCCCCTTATCACCTGAATCTCCTCCTAGAGCTCCATTGTGTTCTTTGTAACTAAATCTCTCTCAGAGGGGCGTGGGGAGGGGCTCCTTATCTTCATCTAAAGTAACAGACAGAGAATCAGCACTTTGGAAACAGGGCTGAAACAGAGGGGATTATGGGTAATGCTGCAATGATCTGTTTGGTGTTTCAGCCAATCAGAGACATGTTCTGTATATATCTGAGACCTGTGATATAGTGATGAAACACAGTATGATAGGAGACCTTTAACATTAGGCTGTATTTGGCTCATAGCTGTATAAATGCCCTCAGTGGGACGAATAAAGGGATTCTGATTCATGCACAGCTGCGCTTGGCGTGCAGCATCTCGATGAGCAGGTTGTTGCAGGGCCCCCCCCCACTCAGGTGTTTGCAGTACAAGTAGTCTTCGGCCAGGGTGCTCAGCGAGCGGATCTCAGACAGACAGAGCAGCAGGTGAGCGAAGCGTCCAATCAGGTGAGAGGAGGTGCTCAGTGTGTACTCCAGCAGGGAGGATTCAGCCTGCTCGTGCACACTCTCAACAAACTGAGGGTCCTCCAGCTGTTTCACATCTGCCCGGCAACAGAGAAAGAATGAGCAGTGAATGAACGAAAAGCTGTCAAACATGTTAGTATCATAAGATTAAGATAAGAAGTACTTTGTTGATCCCAATTTGGGAATTCTTTGCGTTGCAGCAGCAGCAGCATAAAAAGACAAGGCAATGTATACGAGAAATTAAAACACTAGAAATAAACAATCCAAAATATTTCTGAAATGTACATGTGGAAATACACATTTACAGTAACATGGAGTGGAGGACTATATAACGGGTGGCAGAAGATCCTTTACTTTAGTAAAAGTAGAAATACTTAGTTCTGAAAATACTTCACGTGAAAGTCCTGAATTCAACATTTGAATTAAGTAGAAGTTTTTCCAGCTAAATGTAAATATCAAAAGTAAAAGTACCCTTTATGCACCATGGCTGTTTTGAAAGTATTATATTATTGTGGAATATTAAATGATTTTCTTCTTTTAATAGTTTACAAATACAGGTAAAAACATTTAAATCTTGAAGTTTGTGGATTTTAAAGGTCACCTATCACCTATCTAGGTCTTAGATATATAAAATTATATTAAAAACATGTCTATGAAGTGTTTTGCTCAAAATACCAAACAGATCACCCATTCTAGCCATGCCTCATATCCCTCTGTTTAACTTCCTGTTTCAAAAGTGCTGATTTTGGGGTATAAAGCTTTAAAAAACAATTTGATAAAAAAAGGAGGGGTCTGAGCTAATGCGGGACCCGGCAGCTACTGTCTAAACTAAATGCTGCCGTGATGAAACGCCATATCATGGATTATCAAGGATTCTCTCTGAAACAGTTTGGAGCTCAAAGGCTTTCTCACTTGCCGGTTATACCACAAGGTGAGTTCTTTTTTACTTCCTGCTTCTTCACACACATGCTCTCCAGTACAGGTTAGCTCTGAGTGTTAGCGATGCTAATGTAAACACCGACCATATTACGTCCAGAACAGTCGGGCATTGTTTCTGATAGCAACGTTTCTGATTGGGCCGTGGGTCCACATTTCAGATATGACGTCATATCGGACGCAAATCTGGATCAGCTCCGTTGTTCCCCGTTTTTAGAGATTTAGAGACACACCAGGGATACATCTTTATGTATAAAAGACATCACAAAGTGCATTTTGCATGATAGGTCCCCTTTAAGACAGATTTCGTGTTTTATTCATTGATTAGAGACTTTTGTATAATACATGATAAGCAGCATTATATAATATAAGCATATCCTGTGTTTGAGTGGACTAAAGAGTACAATATTGCCTGTAAAATTAAGTGGAGTAGAAGTACACAGCAGCATAAAAAGGAAATACTCAAGTAAAGTAAAATCATGTTAAAATAAAACGTAGGTCTTGTACTTAGTAAGTTTACCTGAAATCACATAAAGAACACTTGAGTTATTACAGAGAAGCTTTTCGTTGTTAAAATAAGTAAATCAATTGTGCAAGAAGCAAATTTGCACCCTTGGCGTTTCAAAAGTGATAATACATTTTAGACCCTTAATGAACATGTGATTAATTTAGAGACTTAAAAACAACCCTTTGATCCAGATTATGGACTAAAGACCCCATAAATACCTTTGAATCTGTTGTCACCAACCTGGGTTGAAGAGGACGAGGAACTTGATGCAGGCGAACTCTTGACGGTCCACCTTCAGGATGAGCAGCTTCTCCACCAGATCCTGTCCTCTCTGGACCAGACTGGCCAGGGTGAGACCGGCATGAGAGGCAACGTAGGAGAGCTCCATCTGAACAACGAGACACGAACTGACATCAGGACAGACAGAATCCCTCTGCACTGCAGCTTGTGTGTAAGGGTTATGTTTTGCATCCCTAAAATGTACACAATCACTCTCAAAATCTCATGTCAGCCCACCAAATATTTGCAGTGTTTTCTTTTTGACAAAACTCAGCATAAGTCAGTTATCATCTCTAAATAAGTGCAGAAAAAATAACAGCAGTGTTCACAGAGAATGTGCAGTTACACGATGGCTATTTTCTTTCCAATATACTGGTCATTTTAAAAGATTGTGGACATTGTTAAGGTTTTTATTACCATAAAACATTATGAGACCTGTAAAATAAAGTAAGATTAGTATCTAGTCCTAACAATGAGTTGACATAATAAGTATTATAAAACAGAAACTTTGCAATGGGTTTTGGAAGCAGGAAGGAATACAAGAAGACCCTCTGAAGTAAATGGGAGAATTGTATCACCCTCTCTCCAAACAATGTGGATGCTATCACATCTGCGTAAATATAATATCATAATAAGCGTAAAACATTAGAACTAAAAATGAACACCCCACTTGGTCCCCGTGCTGTGTGGAAATTGCTCGCTCCTTTTGGTTTGTGAAACGTCTTTTCATTGTTAATAAATGATATAATACAGAGAGAGGCAGAAGGACCTCCTGTCCGGTGACCAGCAGCAGGCTGTTCTCTCGGCCCTGCAGCACGTTCCTGCAGACGGTGTCCAGCAGCAGCAGATCGCTCCAGCAGCTGTGCAGCAGCTTCATCTGGTCATCCACCTGGGAGCACGGAGAAAATCACCTTATCAACAACATCCTCTCATCTTATCTGAGCTACATCCAACTTATACAACTGTCATGCATGTTAGCATTCTAACACTGAGGCCAAAGATGAAGAGGAAGTCAAACTTTATTCATTTACTTTTTCCACTGTTTTTCCATTATACATTGATATCCAAAGGGATTGCCATTGCTTTGCAGGGTGGTGCAGGAATGAGTCTTAAACCTATACGAGTCAGCATTTTACCACTTCTGGGATCCCTTGTCTTGAAGTCAATGTTTTGTTCATACTCTGGATTTTTTAACACTTTTTTGTTAACTAGATAATTCCATATATGTTCGTTGCAACACATTCTCTCTCCCAACTCGTCACATATTGGCGATCGGTCAGGGCCCCTTCACGTCACCCTATTACGCACTGAAATCTGAGAGCGGACATTTGACAAGTACAGCGCACAGAAGCAGCCTGAGTGCGAGGAGAAGGTTTTAAACTGGAAAACAGGAAATCTGTAAGCAGCAATATATCTGAGTGCAAGCGTACAGTTTGAGCAGAAGCAGAGCAAATCTAAGCGCAAGGACAAGGTTAAGAAATACAAAATATGAACGTGAAATCAATCAATTATGCTCAAAATATTGCATTTCTTGTTATCTCGCCCATGGATGTGTTTTAAAACCGCCAACTGCCTAATTGTACTAGTATGTTCTGAATCCGCTGCTTTGTTGTTACTGAAAATGGAAAATATGATTGCTTTGTTATACCAATGCGGTTGGTACAATACATTTCTGCAATAAAAATATTCTTTAAAAAAAAATTATGCTCTCAAATTGAAAGAACACGCACTTGAATAAAGATAGGGAATAACCTCCATAATAAAGTAGATTTTAAAAACGTTTTATAGAGTAGAAAACAACATTAAGCTCACTGCGGGACGTTGCAGAAATGTCCCCACCACGTAATGCTGTGTTAAGGAGTCGTGTTCATTTCACGTATTTTGGTGAGACCACGTTGCTATGGGACGCCCTGCCCGTTGACAACTGACGCTCGAGGGGTACCCAGTGCGTAATAGGGTGACGTGAAGGGGCCCTGACCGATCGTCAATATGTGACGAGTTGGGAGTGAGAATGTGTTGGTTCTTTCATAGTTTTGATGTCTTCAGTATTAATCTACAAAGTAAAACTAAATAAAAAATAAACAAAATCCATTGAATGAGAAGGTGGTCCAAACTTTTGACTGTACTGTACATATTTGCATACATATTTTTATATATTTTAGTTTTTGTGTTCGGAAACAGTATTTCGATCTGTCTGGCTGTACCATAGACTGAAAGATTGACAATAAAGTTGACTTTGACTTTGATATATGTCTTACCTTCAGCTGTTTGAAGAAGATGGACGTGCGAGCCCACTCCACGATGGAGAACAGCGTCTGGTCGGCCATGACACACATCAGGCTGAAGGTGTTTGGGGTCCCGTTCTCCTCCTCCTGCAGGATCCGAGCAGAGATCTTACTCTGCAGCTGGAGCTCATCTGGATCACAGCGCAGGAACTCCATCACCAGCTGAGGCATGCTGGGAGCTGGTGGAGAGAAGGAGTGGATCCTAGAAGAAGGGCCTGGTGGGAAGTAGTGGAGTACAAATACTTCGTTACTGTACTTAAGTACATTCTTCTGGTATCAGTACTTTACTCCACTACTTATTTTTCTGACCACTTTTTACTTTGACTTCTTACATTTTGAACACAAATACCTGTACTTTCTACTTCTTACATGTTGAACCCAAATACCTGTACTTTCTACTTCTTACATGTTGAACTCAAATACCTGTACTTTCTACTTCTCACATGTTGAACACAAATACCTGTACTTTCTACTTCTTACATGTTGAACCCAAATACCTGTACTTTCTACTTCTCACATGTTGAACACAAATACCTGTACTTTCTACTTCTTACATGTTGAACACAAATACCTGTACTTTCTACTTCTTACATGTTGAACCCAAATACCTGTACTTTCTACTTCTTACATGTTGAACCCAAATACCTGTACTTTCTACTTCTTACATGTTGAACACAAATACCTGTACTTTCTACTTCTTACATGTTGAACCCAAATACCTGTACTTTCTACTTCTTACATGTTGAACCCAAATACCTGTACTTTCTACTTCTTACATGTTGAACTCAAATACCTGTACTTTCTACTTCTTACATGTTGAACTCAAATACCTGAACTTTCTACTTCGTACATGTTGAACCCAAATACCTGTACTTTCTACTTCTTACATGTTGAACCCAAATACCTGTACTTTCTACTTCATACATGTTGAACCCAAATACCTGTACTTTCTACTTCTTACATGTTGAACACAAATACCTGAACTTTCTACTTCATACATGTTGAACACAAATACCTGTACTTTCTACTTCCTACATGTTGAACACAAATACCTTTACTTTCTACTTCATACATGTTGAACACAAATACCTGTACTTTCTACTTCCTACATGTTGAACACAAATACCTTTACTTTCTACTTCTTACATGTTGAACTCAAATACCTGTACTTTCTACTTCCTACATGTTGAACACAAATACCTTTACTTTCTACTTCTTACATGTTGAACTCAAATACCTGTACTTTCTACTTCTTACATGTTGAACTCAAATACCTGTACTATCTACTTCTCACATGTTGAACTCAAATACCTGTACTTTCTACTTCTTACATGTTGAACTCAAATACCTGTACTTTCTACTTCTCTCATTTCCCAAACAGCTGGTTCCTTTAGTCTGAATGTGTGTTTGATGCGTGATCATTATTATTTAGAGTCATTGCGTGCCTATTGATTTGAACACGATCCGTGTATCCATCATTTCCTGGTCTTCTCTAAAGAAGAGGGACCAATGGAAACGTTGTCATGTTGCCGTTGTTCAGCATGGAAACATTCATTAGCTAACAATGACATTATTGTTCTATTAATATAAAGGGAGGTCAGGTACTCTTTAAAGCAGCTGCTAGCTATGGGTACTTTTTACTGAAGTACATTTCAAAGCCTCTTTACTTTGACTTGAGTAAAGAAGTTTAGTCAGTACTTCTACTTTCACCAGAATATTTTTAAACACGAGTATCTGTACTTCTACTTGAGTAAAGGATGTGTGTACTTTTGCCATCTCTGGGTCCTGGTGAGCCGTTGTTGGAGTGCTGGGATTTCCAGTTTGAGAAGGAGGTGCTCTGGTACTGGGTGGATGGCAGGAGTGAACACAGGTGTGGAGGCTGTGCTGTGGGGAGCGAGGTGTTGGGAATCATGGGAAGAGGGTGGAAGCCAGTGGTAAAGGTCAAGTTCCTGTGGTGGGTGGAGGAGCCGCTGTCCAGTCTGAATCCTCCATCTTGAATCAGAGCATCTCTCTGCTGCTTTAGGGCCCGATCTCGTTTGTACATCGGGCCGAACTTGTTTCTGCCTCCTCGCTTCCTGTCGGCTCGAACAGCTGCGGAGAACAGTGGATTTATTGAGAACACACAGTGCTAATTTATCACTTAAAAAATTGTCATAAAAAAAAATCTGTGTTGTTTTTAATTCTGAAAATCTGAATTTAGCTTGTTTTACTTTTGGTCATAAGTGAAAACAGACATTGAGTTCTGAATTGCAGAATTCAATAAAAATAAAGTATTTCCTTTCAGATGGTTTTTCTTTATTTTCAGAATGTTTTATTGAATTAACTCTACATTTATTTGAAACTTTTGGTCACATGATCCCAACTCGTGTGGCCCTAATCCTCTTCCATATTAATACTTTATATAAGATTGGGAGGGTTACTTTAAGATGCATTCAGTTACCAGGGAAGATTTTGTATCTGTAACCTAATCTGAGTATCAAAAAATTAAAGCAATCTGATTACTCTCCGTTACTTTTGGATATCAAATGCAATGCAAATACATTCAAGAGTGTATTATGTAAGACAACAGAACAACGTGACCTTACAAAAGAAGAAACCAAGATATTTTGATTGTATTCATAGGAAAACCTGCCTTTCATTAAGTCAGGCAGTAGCCTACTGTATACACCAACAGTGAAACACATGAGCACATACTACAATTTAAAAAAGCAGAAATCAAATCTGAGCCAAAAGAAAATTCTCCATTTTTGTTTAATACACACAGTAATGATTATGTCTTTCTTTATATCACTGTGTCTCCATAGCCGCTCCTCACCTTCCAGTCTCATGCCCACATGGAGACACTTGAGGAACCTGCAGGACGGACAGCGTTTCCTCTGACCGCGGTCGATGGTGCACTCCTGCTGCTCCGCACACACGTACTGCTTGTTGTTCTGAACCGTCCGTTTGAAAAAGCCCTGAGAGTGAGGAAGAGGAAGAGGAAGAGGAGGAGGAGAGGTCCACTGAAGAAAGCATGTTCCATATATTCTAAGTAGAATCAAGTGTTAAATCAGACTTTAGTTCCACCTGGAGTAAATCCACAAGCTACCCTGCAGTATACAAAGTCATTCAAACTAGCTGCACCTTCACCAGCTTTGAGAACACTTTCATGATCAATCATTATAAAACATATCATATATATTATTCTGAAATGGACCAATCTGCACAACGACTACTTTTACTGTCGCTACTCTCACTATATTTTGATGAGAATACTTTTCTACTTTCACTTGAGGAACATTTTGAATGCAGGATTTTTACTGTAACAGAGTATTCCTACACTCTGGTATTTCTACTTTTACTCAAGTACAAGATCTGAGTACTTCTACTTTTACTCAAGTACAAGATCTGAGTACTTCTACTTTTACTCAAGTACAAGACCTGAGTACTTCTACTTTTACTCAAGTACAAGATCTGAGTACTTCTACTTTGACTAAAGTACAAGATCTGAGTATTTCTTCTTTAACTCAAGTACAAGATCTGAGTACTTCTACTTTTACTCAAGTACAAGATCTGAGTACTTCTACTTTTACTCAAGTACAAGATCTGAGTACTTCTACTGAAGTACAATATCTGAGTACTTCTACTTTTACTGAAGCACAAGATCTGAGTACTTCTACTTTCACTCAAGTACAAGATCTGAGTACTTCTACTTTTACTCAAGTACACGTTCTGAGTACTTCTACTTTTACTCAAGTACAATATCTGAGTACTTCTACTTTTACTCAATTACAAGTTCTGAGTACTTCTACTGAAGTACAAGATCTGAGTACTTCTACTTTTACTGAAGTACAAGATCTGAGTACTTCTACTTTTACTCAAGTACAAGATCTGAGTACTTCTACTTTTACTGAAGTACAAGATCTGAGTACTTCTGAGTATGAGTTTATTTAGCAGGGACAGCGCACATGAGTCAGAGTTAGCCAAGATAGATAAACAGATATAAACTTTATTCAACCCAAATGTGGACATCTTTTAAAATGCCAAATTCTTTGAAAGAGGCTGTTCATGGACGGATGTTGTAAAGTCATCCTAAAAACAAATTATACATTTTAAAAGTATTAGTTTATATTGATTTAATTTATCCCTAATTTGTTGTTTTGTTACAGAAGCATTTAAACAAGGCATTGCACATACAATCAAATGAAATAAACATAAACAACTAAACAATAGAAAGATATAACAATACCTAAAGAGTACTCGATACAAAATATACAGCATAAGTTAGACTAAACTTTAAAAGAGGACATCAAAAACAGATATACAGATTATACAAGCAGTTTTGAAATGAAATGATAAAAGTACCTTGCAGCTCTCACAGGTGAGCAGCCCGTAGTGGTAACCCGAGACTTGATCTCCACACACCGGACACAGCTCAATCAAACACAGCGCCTGCCTGCTCTCCATCCTGAAAACAACACAACAACATCATCAACAACAACATCATAACAACATGAACAGGCTAGAATACAAGAAGGTTAGTTCTGAAATCAATACATCACAAATACATTTTAAATCATGTCCTAATAATCCAGGAAATTAAATGGACTTGTCTTCCGTTACGATAAAAAAACAAGCTGGATGGAAATCGAATTGTTGCATATAAAAATATATTTGAACGTCTTCTTTGTGCTCGTTAAGTCACCTGCTGTGACTCTCAGTCAGAGTTTAGTAAAGACATAATGCTGTTAGAGCGGTGATCAGCCTCCTCCTTTGAGAGGAGGGACAGGATGAAGTTCAATCAGAGGGACCATCTTTATGCTTCATTTATTCTCTATTGTTTACTAGATTTGGCCACAATCTCTGAGCCAATCATGTGTTTGCTGCCAAACGTAATCTCCTCTCTGCTGCTGTTAGCTGTCGTTTTAGGCGATATTGTTGTAGCAACTCTCATCCTGTTTCACCTCCAGATCTTCAGTCTCCATCCATCACCAAAACCACCAGTGTCAAAACCACATGTTTCCCAGGTTCCTACACTGAAGCGTTGACTTTAATTAAATGTATTATTTCAACAGATTACACATTAGGTTACTTGAAAACAATGATATTAAAGGTGGGGTAGGTAAGTTTGAGAAACCGGCTGAGATACACTTGTTGTTATATTCCATGGAATGCTCTTAACATCCCGATAGCAGGCATCCTCTACCCACCGCCGTCTCACAAGCGTTGGGTAGAGGAAGTAATGTCCCATCTGAAACCTGAGCAGCTAAAGCACACTACCCGGGGCTCTATCGCAAAGTACTATAAGGTCTGGCAACCATTTCTGTCCTACTTTGAGAACGAATTCTCTAACATTGAAATAACGTAGCCAACGTAGCCCCCCCCCCCACATTGTTTTTTATTCATTTGTATTTTCATTTTTACTTTTGGTTATTTAACCATGTAGTTTTTCATTTCATAATTTATGTGTACGTTTACTTTCTATATACATATTTTGTATCTCCTCTAGATGTCAATTGATATTTTGTATACTTTCTGTGTGTGCTGTATTTTTGAATGCTGAGTGCTGCTGTTTGTTATAGGCTATGTGGAAAATAAATACAAATATTTGAATAATAATAACATCCCGATAGCAATGAATATCTTAAGTGCTTTGACAAAAAATCCATAAAGAAATGTCATCTGTGGAAGCCGTAGTAGGCTACTGTGAAAAGCACGACCAATCATCTGAGCCGGCCCGGCTAAAGTAACTGGACGGCCTACCTGCCTGTCAGCCTTCCATCTGGGCACAAACTGATCTCGTGCCCTCATTGGTCATGTGCGCGTTCCTGTGTGTTGGAGGAGGGGCTCTGTGAGGAAGTGGCAGATTTTTTCCTGCTGTGTATTTTCAAATTCTAGCGCACTCCAGCTGGTTTCTCCAAAATTACCTACCCCACCTTTAAGTTGAACCTAATATTTTGTATTTAAAGTTAATATTATTGCTTTCAACTAACCTAATACAGTTATGTGAAATCTGTTGACATAATACCAGTGCTGGAATTGGGCCGGTACTCACCGGTACGCAGTACCGGCACTTCTGGTTCTGACCCATGGAGTACCGGCACTTCTTGCTCAGTACCGGCATGCTGGCGGTACTCCGGTACTCATGCACCGTGCCAGTACTCAACACTCTCCCGCCGTTCTTATTATACATCCATATATATATATACAGCCGCCCGGTACTCAGTAGATGCGTCATGAGGTGCCGAACGGACATTCTCATCGCTCTAACCGCTGGAGTTTCACAGCGGCTGTCAGCTGTTTACTCCTGTCATTCAAACAGAACGTGCTGGAGAGGGGGCGGGGCTTATCTTCTCCATGTAAATACTGTGGTGGAAACGACTATGTCAAAATTAACCTATTTGACCGTGATTTAATAGTAATACACGTTTCAAAATAATAATAATAATAATAATGCCGAAGTAACAACATACTGAAAACTGTTAGTAAAACCATGTTTTAATGCTTTACAATTTACATACCTAGATGCACGTGTGTTGTGTTTATGCAGTGCAACTCCCACCCAGTGGGTGGCTATGTAGAGTGATAGAACAGAGCAGGCACGCCCCCGAGAGAAGGAAAGCAAGTCACGTCACAAATTAGCATTTCTAAAATGTTAGCGTGGATTAATAAAAGTGCAAAAAGACAGCGGTTGTCGCCGGAAGAAACTTCAAATACAGAGAATGCTGTGCCTGTGTTGGAAATTGTGTCTGATGGGGAGCTTTCTTTGGTTGATCCTCCTGCTCCAAGTTCTAGTGCATTAGCATTAGCACTAGCTCCGCCGCCTCCTCCAGAGCCTCTAAAGTTAGCTGCTGCTGGCGCAACTGCCACCACCAACACCGGGCAAAGCGATGCACCTGACTGCTGGACAACGGACCACGTGCAATATTTTTGCAAGACCAATGCATGGCTCCTTTTTAAAGATAAGAAGCTAGGATGTCGGATATGCAGAGATGTCAAATCTTTGGGAATACACACTGGACAAGGACTGAAACTGTCAACTGAATGGGGTGAGTGTGCAGTGTCTCATTTCGGTGTTGACAAGGGCAAACAACAAGCTAGCCTGAGAAAAAAAATCAAAGAACATAAAGAATCACAAGCCCATGTAAAAGCTGCTGACATCCTTACATCTGCTTCACGTGAAACTATTCAACATCAAGTGCAGTCTATGCATAAATCTGAATTAGACACCACTATCAGAGTTTTTCGAACGGCATATACAATTGGCAAACATAGCCGGCCATTCACAGACATGCCAATTGATTTGAATGTACAGAAACTGAATGGGCTGAACGTGGGCAGGGTTTTGCACTCCAATAAAACCTGTGGCGAAATCATCGACCACATAGCTCATGAGCTGAAGAAAAAACTGGCAAAAGACATTACAGAAAACCAAAGAAAACTCGGTGTTTTGGTCGATGAATCTACCACTATTAGTGGTAAAACGGTGCTTGTTGTGTGTCTACGCTCAGCATTAGCTGATGCTGAGCCCGAAACGTTTTTTTGGGAGCTGATCGAGTTGGATGGAACAACGGCTGATGACATCACAAAGGCGTTAATGGAGTGTCTTGGAAGAGATTTTAACGAGGACTTTTTAGGTCAGTGTTTCGTTTCTTTTGCATGTGATGGGGCTTCAGTCATGCTAGGGAAGAGAACAGGCGTTGCTACCCAGTTGTGTAGTAAATTCCCAAGCCTGTTTGTGTGGCACTGCTCCAATCATCGTCTAGAGCTGGCAGTTGGGGATGTGGTCAAGGAGGTCTCAGGGCTCAATCATTTCCAGATCTTTTTTGACAAACTCTATTCCTTGTTCCATGCCTCCCCCAAAAATCAGAGGCAGTTAGCGCAGTGTGCGCAAGCAGTCAGACAGCGTCTCCTGGTGATAGGGCGTGTTTTGTCCATCCGCTGGGTGGCTTCAAGTGAAAGGAGCGTCAGAGCAGTCTGGGAAAACTACCGAGTGCTTCATGATCACTTCACAAATGCTGCAAACGACACGAGCAGGGATTCCAGAGACAGAGCAAAGTACAAGGGCCTGGATGATGTGCTCACATCTGCAACGTTTGTCAGCAATCTGGGACTGATGTACGATGCGCTCACAGAGCTCAGTGACCTCTCTCGGCAACTCCAAAAAAGAGAGATGACACTGCCTACAGCAGATAGGCTCTTAACTCGAGAAATACGAGTTTTTGAATCCATGGTCACCATGCCTGGCCCACACATGACTACAGTTCATACAGCTCTAGCTGAGAAGTCCTTCAAGGGTGTTGCCCTGCGTGAGAATGGCAGGCTTGTACAGATTCATGCAGGTCAGTTTTTCCGCAGTATGGTAGAGAATCTGAGACACAGAATGACTTCCACAACCTTCTCTCATGTCAGCACAAGAGAAATCCCATTACATGGCCGGGAGGCCCGGGACAATCAGCTAATCCAGGACATGAAAGTTATCCATCCTGGAAGTTGGCCTGAAGAGGAGTTAGACGTACAGTATGGGGACATAGAGGTGCTACGTTTGTGCGAAGTGCTGAAAGTGGACAGAAGAGAGACTGTTCAGGGCTTTCACGAATACAAGGAAACCAGGGCATCCCGTACACCTGCTGCCATGGAGCCTCTACTGAAAGCAGTCCGAACCATCGCTGTCTCCACTAGTGAGTGTGAGCGGGCATTCAGCTGCATGAACGATATCCTTACTGCAAAGAGGAATGCTCTCTCTGTCAGCCGACTGTCCAGCCTGGTTTTCATTAAATGTAATGGACCATCACTAGGACAGTTCAATCCGGAACAGTATGTGAGGTCCTGGCTGGCAAAGGGAAGGAGAAGTGCTGATGAAAGAGCCTGTCCAGCTCCAGCCCCTGATACTGATGTCCCCAAGGCCTTCTGGAGCCTTTTCTAACAATGTGAAGTATATTGCAAAGCAGCTCACCCAGTGAGAAGACTTTTGGCATAATGTGCCGATTTGTACAGATCCTGGAGATAGAAGGACTTCAGACCAACCAGGGAGTTATCTGATCAGCTTGGTGTTCAATGTAACTCTTTACCATGGCTCAGACTTTGTTACTTGCAGTTACAGTTTCTCATTTTAGATTGTGCAAATTTTGCATTTGTTTTTACATGTTCTTTGTTCATGCTCTTTATCATTTTTCTGAGTTGGAAAGTTAGATTGCATCATAGTTTACTTTATACATATTTGTATTCTTCAGTGGTGAAGTATATTGCAAAGCAGCTCAGCCATGTGAGAAGACTTTTGGCACTTTTTCGTTTTTCGTTTTCTGAGTTGGAAAGTTAGATTGCATTCAAAATGTACAGAAATACTTAATTTTGTTAAAGCTTTTTATAAAAAATGCTTCTGACCAGAGCTTTGTTTCCTTGTCATTAATGTTGAACACCACCAGAGGGGCTCTCACCTGAAAGGTCTCTGCTTCATGTGTCTTCAG